TACAATTTTCATGAGTGGATGGAGTTAGGAATAAGGAATACAGTAGTTCACTCAAAATCCATAATGATGTAGTTGCCTCGCCCTGTAATCTGTGGGCCAGTTGACTGCAAAATCTGCACGTCTTTTGTTAGGTGCTACCTCTAATGTTACAGTAGTTTTGAGTATACCCACTATACAGCTATACCACTGCAAACTGAGGGAAACACAACAATTCACTTTCCTCTCAAACAAACACACTGGCTGTGTATTGGCTGTCATCATTCAAAATGTTTCAGATGCCTGTGGGAGTTGGCACCCGAGGCCACACTCACTTTCTGCTAAGCTCTGATGTTTCAAGCTGCTTTAAACAAACCTGTTCCGATATTTGGAAATTACAGCCAGTTTCAACTGAGGACTGTGGGGAAATTCCTCACCTGGAGGCTTTGGTACTGAAACCTGTCAGAGAATGTCATGTTCAAGATTGAGTTTTGTACTTGTTTAGTTTGATCCTTTTTAACTCAGTATTTTCCCACACTTTCCCAGTGTGTTATTGTGACCCCTCAACCCAGATTGTGTCTACAGTTCTCAGTTTTCATAAATTTTCATTTTGTTGTCAGAGAAGATACAATATACAGCAATTCAATTAACCAGGAATCAAACTGAAATTATTAACATCTGAATACATTTTATCATATGATAGTTTGACAATATGCTTCCCTTAAACAGCTGGTGACAGTTCTTTTCAACAAACTCTCTGCCTCTCAGTTGGCACAGACAAGCAGTCACTGCACAGACACCGTTGATTTTACCCTACTCTCGGATCCTCACCTCACATTCAGATCATTACCGCTTATTTAAATCATTCAATTAATAGCATAAACATCTGACGACTCATTGACTGTTGGCTTGAACTAACAACTATAAGTCAACTAGGAAACTCTTTAGTCAGGGACTAAAAGCCCTAGTTTTTATGTTACATAATGTGCTACCTAAATTAAACTAGTAACAAATCTAAGTGCTTCTGTCAACAATGCCTGTATACTTTTTAAAAGATAATCTACTACATATTACAATAGTTATGTTATTAGTTAGGAGATAATCTACACATTTTTACAATTGGAGAATGTAAGAATCACTTTAGGCCTACAACAATGATAAATGAAAATGTAAGTGAAAAAAAGCCTCAAAGCCACATGGAGCCACAAGAGAACGGCCTAAACAGCAACATGGCATTTCTGGACCTTCCTTTTCCCTGCATTGAGGAGAGTAATGGCTGTGGGGAGGAATGAGCATTTGTATCTGTTAGTCTGTACTGAGGGGGATCTTAGGCGAGTGCAAAAGTGTAGGGATTGAAAGTCCATGATGAAGACAGTGGGTACATTCAGACAGGATGGAATTTGCACTTTGTCACTGCTGGCCTCTCCTACAAACTATTTCAGTGTTGCATTCAAAAGAGATATTGTTGTAGATGTAGGTAATTTGTAATTAATCCCACCTTGTGACCCTAAATAATGGTGCTCTGAGTGGGATGAGGATTATGTCTGAAGTCAATGCACATGTTTTGACCTTGATACATTAATTTGAAGGAATGGGTTTTGTACCAGGGTTCTGTTGGAGGGACAGTCAAGGATCCAACCAGCCATACTAGAGTCAACAGCAAAGTAGTTTATCCACCAACACGTGGCATTGAATATGTCATATTCCTGTTGCCAAGAACAACCACCCAAATGTACTGAATTCCTACAGCCAGAAGTTCTGTACAAAATTCCTTCTTGATCTGTTTCAGTTTGCATACAGGGTCAGGGCTTACTATTTGGGTCTTCTCAGTTCTGCCTGGAAGTACTATATCCTCACAATAAGACACCCAGGACCTAACAACATCAGTAAGTTCATCAGTGTCATTACTGGAATCAACCAACACCTCCCAATCAGTGCAGTCCACTGATTCCTGAAGAGTCAATGAGTCAGGTCTTGACCCAGATTGTGTGCAGGGCTTTGCGATACACCAGGATGAGGTGCATGCATGCTGTGGAGGTTATGCAGAGGTAAAGATTTTTATGCTCCTTTGACAGACCTGAAACACAGGTCCAGGATCTTCTGTTTTGTCGGGCATGTCACATATTGTTAAAAGTTCCTCTAGGTTTTAGTCAATGTGCAATCATTGAAGTCACCAAGTACAATTTTGGGGGCATCAGGAGACATAGTTTCTGTGTCACTTGCAAAACCCTCTCTGTGGACATTATTCACATATGCCTTTGGATTAATATAGACCACCGTAAGTCAGTCTGATTGCCCTAACAAGTATTGATGTGTGATGACTTTACAAGTTGACATTCTAACCAACACAAAAACAAGCACCCTTCTTTTTTGTGACTTGTGCAAAATTAGAGCATCTACCTGACAAGCTGTCAAACCGGGCACATATTTGAAATGAAATAATTCCCCCTTCCCCGAACAGCCTGCAGAACCAGCTTCAGTTGTAAACATCGTCATAAACACATGGTTCAGACCCACGCTTCTAGAGAAAAACAAGACAAACCAGATGGGATGTACGACAGAAGCTCAACACAGATACAGAGGTACATCCAGAGGTGAACTGCTGACTACAGACCCACAAACACAGAGACAACATGAAAGCTGTTGCGGTCTTCTTGCTGGTGCTGTATTACCTGGCCACCAGTCACGGTAGGTCCAGTTTTAAAAAAAAAAATGAAATCACAAAATTATTTGTTGAAGGTGAAGTTAGAATATATTCTTCTTTCATTAAATAGATTTATATTTTCTGGTCACATCAGTAAGATTCAGTCAGATTATAAAGTACTACAGCTGCAGCCCACTACACGGATGCTGGGCAGTCGACACTAGTGATCGGTTGGACACAGGTTGGATACTGCAGCACCAGTGAAATCTTATAACTGCGAACTACAGTGGAGCCGGCTATAGTTGAAGTGGGGACTGATGGAAGTGTCTTTATGGTCAATCGAACTGGCCATGTCCATCAAAGGTAAGCCAGTAATCCTCCAGTCTGAGGGGACTCTATATTGGTCTATGTGGTTGTAATTGAACAACCTAAAACATCCATAATATCTAATAAGTAAAATAGTGTACAAAAAGCAAGAGCAACATCATGTGTTGATCAGAATTGATTGGGTTGAGGGTTTTAATGAATTCACACATGTAACATATATCTGTTATACTTTCTGTTGCATTAATAAATTATATAAAAAAATAAATAAAACCAATGTCCTGGGGCTTTTTAATTATGTATTTAATGGTTTTGTTACACATACACAACATTGTTGTTCACACATTAAGAAAATGGAAGCCAAAAATCAACATGTATGTATTAAGAAGGAATGAAACAGAATCCCTGAATCAAAATCAGTTTTCATCTGGTTCCAAATACTGATGCAAGGAGAAACTGTTTCCCTTGCCTCATCAGGGTACATGTTACAGCTGCAATTCATTTTAAATTTTACTGACCAGCACTGAAGCATCTTTATTCTCCTTTGAGCCCTGCTGGTCATCGCAAAACTTTTGATTTGCATTTTTGGGTATGTGCATTATTCATATTTTAACATACATACAGGCCCTCCTTGTTTTCAAGCACTCTCACACACACAAGAACTTGGTAAGAGACCTTTCAAACAAATATAAAATTGCAAAAGGTCACCTAAACTCAAATAACACAGGATTAATATTTTCACTGTAATATAGTCATTAGCAAGGTAATTCTCACAATGCAGCTAAATGCAACCTATTGGAAAAAGGTAATTTTATTATTTAGGGTTTCACTCTTTTCATTACAATAATCAGTAATCAGTATTAGTTAGAAATCACAATAATCTTCACACTGACTGATCAAGTGATCAGAATTGGAGAATAATAAATTACATGTGACATCACATATTTTCTGTCATGGTTGGTTTTAATGTCTGGCAAAAAAGGAGGAAGATGCAAATGCAGAAAGTCCGGACAGACAGGAAAAGTGATTTATTGAGAAGTTGAAGATGCATGGGCTGACTGGTTTTGGAGGCTTATAAAGCAAAGGCACAAGATAACAATGTATGATGAAGTGGGAGAGTACTAGTGGAAATTATCTGTTACATACTATTGGGCTGGTTTGGGATAATGGGAAGCAGGTGAATGAGTGGGCGGGGAAGGTCAGGTGACTGGGCCTGGAGGGAAAATACTATTTAATATGGGAGAAAAGATTTCAAATGCAATTTGCAAAAGAAATACCAGGACTTTATGTTGCATCCGGTCACATTTTGCAGTAGCCAGCATGCTTTTCTGGCTTTTCTGCCTCATGATTGTCTGCGCAGCGGAAGATACGTCATATTGGCTTAGCTGCAGAGAGAGCGCAGTCAGGTAACAGATCATTGATCTGTCATTTAGGGTTTTTCCATGGCTTGGTTCGACTAGATCTACTTTTTTCCAGCTGACATGAGCTGCAGGAACTGGTAGACTCCCCGGCAGGAGTGAGCTGCTCCAGTTGCTGGGGGTGGGCAGCAAGGGGCTTTGGGATCCCGGTGCCAGGTTGCTCTGCTAAGTTTGGCTGATGTTATGGTTCACAGGGGACCAGGGTGCTGCTGGTGGTTCGCCCATGATAAATGCTTCATCCAATCACCTGCTGAGTATTTTTTTGAAAGTGCCTGCCTTTCCCAAACAGCTTCCAACGGCGACTTCCCATATAGTTCTGGGTAACAAACCACCTGGCACAGTCAGGTTATTACTCACCTTAATATATGTCCATCTCCCCACCTATGTGCATTTAATTTACTTACTAATCTCTTTGAGATTACATATTTTAAATTAAAAATCAATTATGAATATTGTTTTTACTTTTTGGCTTTTCGTGCTTAATATTAAATATCAGAATGTAGGGAGAAACACA